TTTTTTTTTTTTTTTTTTTTTTTTTTTTTTTTTTTTTTTTTTTAGTCAGTCTCTCCTTATTTAGTTCAGGCTGGCCTTGAACTCACTATACAGACCATGCTGGACTAGAATTTGAGGTGATCCTTCTACCTCAGCCTCTGGAGTGCTGGGATTACAGGTGTATGCCAGTATGCCTGGCTATATGTTTTATACCTTCTGTCTTCAATTTATTACTTTCTCTTTTAAATTATAAGTATATACTATTCAACTTATCCACTAAATTTTAAAATTTAAATATTTATATTTTTTATTTCTAAAATTTTTATTTGGTTAATTTCCCAAATCTGCTTCAACCATTTTATAGTATCTTGCCTTTATTAGCCTTTGTAATCTCTCTCTCTCTTTTATTACAACTGTATTCACTGTATTTATTTTGTCTTGTGTGTCTTGTGATTCTAGTGTTTAATGTCTTTGGGAGTCTTTTTCTACTGCCATTTGTTTCTGATGATTCTTACACATTCATTTTTTCCTATATTTAGTGATATGACAGTATGCTACTGCTTTTCTTAGTAACTTTCTGCTGTTTCCTTGAGGTGAGAGATAGATTTCTCCCAAGAATATCTGTTTGCTTTTCAGGTACCTGGGAGCACTGAGAGCCCATGACCATCTTAATCATAATTCTTGGCTTGAGGTTTATTAAACCCCCGGGATAGTGCTGATTGATTTGGGCTGCAGACTCTTATGAGGGATGGTTTGTGAGATCCTGTAGGGGTAATTCTTTCTTCATTTTCTCTACCCTAAAGTTCAAGACAGAGAAATTTACTTTCAAAGGACTTGCTGCTCACCCTTAAGTGATAGTATATCCATTTAATTAAGAAAGTGTCTTTGATTACATTCTGTAGCTTAGGTGAAGTTCAAGTTCATGTTGGTTTGCAAATTCACTCAAATCAAAAGCCAGGAATCAGATATATTTATCTTCTGGATTTTTACCTATCTTAATTTTTGCCCTGTCATTATATCATTGATTTATTTATCTTACTCTCTTGTTAATAGACACATTTAAAAACATTAAAAAGATATTTTATCTAGCATTTTTAGTTATTAGTAGGAAACTAAGTAAAGGTAACCAGTCATCATTTTTATGAGACTCGTTTCCTAACTTGACTTTTATTGTTCTAGGACTCTGGGGCCTGGTCAACAATGCAGGTGTTACCAGCCCAACAGCCCTCACTGAGTGGCAGAAGAAGGAGGACTTAATGTATGTCCTCCAGGTGAACCTCATTGGTTTGATCGAGGTGACCCAGAGCATGCTTCCGTTGGTGAGAAGAGCATGGGGGAGGATCGTCAATGTCTCCAGCGTTATGGGAAGAGTTGCTCTCATTTCTGGGGACTACTGTTGTTCCAAGTATGGAGTTGAAGCATTTTCAGATACACTGAGGTAACTCTTAAAGTGAAACAAAAACGATTGAACACTTCGTATGTCTTAGGCATGGTGCTAAGCGTTTTCACCCACCTTACCTTATTTTTATCATTCCCCAAATCTTAGTTTGTAGATATGATTTATAGTCCATCTTATATAGGAATCTGTGGCTCAATTTTAAATATCTTTCCCAAAGTGCACCTGCTGTAGCCAAGATTTGACAGAACCGTGTTTGTACCCAAGGTCTTTGTATTTTGCCTTCCATAAAACTGACATTCTCAGGACTTGTCTTTGACAAAGTTTCACTTCTGAAGAGAGAATAATTATCTTTTTACCAAATGAAATTTTGTCCTTGTCTCTTCCTGGTGGTTCTCTTTCTGGTTCGTCATCTGCTTCCAAAATTTCCTTCTCTTTACTCTCTATATATGTGTTTTAATTTGAATTTCCTGCAACCCTTCATGGCCCTGCCTCTACCACCTGGCTTTTGTTGATGTACTGTTTCAGCTTCATGTCCCTCTACCAGCTGCTTCCTTCTCTTTATAGTTCCCCTGTGCTTTAATTTCTAAGAAAAAGTCCTATTGGCTCAGCTATTTCTGTGTGCATGTCAGCTAGTAATACATTATATGTCATTTATATGTCAGGCACTGTTGTGAATTCTATTAGTAATTTAATTGTCTTTTTAAAGATTTTTCATTTTTATTGGTACATTTTTGCAGTACTTTTTCCTATTCCTATTTGAAAAAGAAGTGTTTCTATTTTGCTATTATCTATCTTTTGTTTTTCTCTTTATTTATCCTTTGGGTTTCTCCTTTAAGAGAAACTATGTGATATTTAGCTTTTGAGTCTGATATGCCTGTGTGTCCGATTTATATCACTTATTGTCATGGTTTTAAGATGCATCTATTTTCCTTCAAATGACTCAAATTTATCCTTTATAGCAGGGCATACTCAATTGTGTATAAATACCACATTTTCTTTATCCATTCATCTGTTGATGGATTTATAGGCTTCTTTTAAGCTTTAGATATTATGTTTTGTGCTGCTATAAATATGGGTGTGCTCGTATCACTCTGATATAATGTCATTCTTTTTCAGGAAGATCTCTAAAAAGATATGACATGGTGAAATGGAATTTGTACTTTTAGCTTTTGGAGGAATCTCCATAGTAATTTCCATAGTGGTTGTAGTAACTTACATTCTTTCCAACAACATAGAAAGGCTCATCCCTACCCCCCCAGTCTCACCAGCATTTATTATTTATTTATTTTTGGTACCGGGGATTGAACTCTGGACCTTGTGCTTGTGGGGGAGGCAGTGGAATCACTGACCTAAATTCTCAGCCCAGCATTTATTATTTTTTAATTTTAATTTTTGTTAGTACATGTTTGTAGTACATAATGATTACATTAATTGTGGGGGGCTGATAGATATACATAACACATCTTAATTCTGTTTTCATCTCTTTCCCCTTTCCTTCCTCCATTTTGTTATTTGATTTCTTGATGATAGCCAGTCTTTCTGGAGTGAAATAGAATAGAATCTCAGTTTTGTTTTAATTTGCATTTCTGTAATTGCCAGAGAAATGTTTAACAGTTTTTCATGAATTTATTGACCATTTGTACTTATTCTTCTGAGAAGTGTCTATTCATGTTAGTGGCCCATTTTTTGATTAGGTACTTTATTTTGAGGGATCTAATTATTTTTATTTTTAGTTTTTTTTTGGTTTTTTTTTTGTACCAGGGATCTATCTCAGGTCCTTGGGCTTGCAAGGCAGGTGGCAGAACCACTGAGCTAAATCCGTGGCCTCTTTAGTTTTTATTTATCCTAGGTATTTGTCCTTTTTCTGAGGAATAGATTACACATTTTTTCCTCCCTTCTGTAGATTGTCTCATTTTGTTGGTTGTTTCCTTTGCTAGGCAGAAGCTTTTAAATTTGATATAATAGCATGTGTTGATTCTAAATGTTGTTTTTTTTCATTATTCATTTTTATGAATCATGCATTTATTTATTAGCTCATGTTTGCAATACATAATGTTTACATTTATCATAGGGTGTTTTAAATGTACATAACATAACTTAATCCTTTTTTGTACCTTCCCTCCTGTCCCTCTCTGTTCCCTCCAACTCTTGATCCCCTTGCCATTTGAAATTTGATTCTTTTTCTAATCCTTTCCCCCTTCCTTCTCTCCCCATCTACCTCTTTGATATAGTTTCTTGTGTATCTAATATCT